CCTTCCAACCCCGAACATTCTGTGATTCAGTAATTCTGAGATGCCGTTTGAACGTGTCTAACAACTAGTGGTGCCTTCTTGCAGCAGCACATTTGCTCTCCGTTCCAAGTGACGTTCAGCCAACTTTTTTACTGAGTCTGGAGCCATCTATCCCTTGGTTTTGGCTTCTAAGAGTTATTCCAGTAGCGAGCTGCTCCTTTGACATTCTTCTGTCCTTCTTGGGGCCAGCTTTATACCATCTGTTCATGCTGCCAACACTGCTGCAATCATTTTTCTTTTCTTCCTCACAAAAATATGAGGCTGGGTTTTGCACCCGCTTTGAAAAATGTATAATTGGATGGCTTGTGAAGCGAAATGGCCGTGTCAGGTGTCATCTTTACAGAATGTGATCAATATTGCTGGAATGCAGCAAGTTTCCTGGTGAGCCTAGAAGGGAATTGTTGGAAAAATGAAACTCTCCGCTGTAGGAAAAAAACATTGATGCACCATTTGCGGGTGAAAGAGCAGCTGCCTTTGACTTCTTCCCATGAGATGTTTTCTGCCTGTGCTCTGTCTTGAGTTTTCACTTGAATTGATTTCCTGTGCAAGTAAGTTTTCTATCTCTTCTTGCACATGAACAGATTCTGCCATTAATTTTCCACTTCATGGATGCGTTCCTCTTTGGATCCACGGAATAATGTCTGCATGAAGTTCTCATTAGTGTTTTTGCTCTGTTTGGTTCTATTTCTATATGTTTGCCTCCATCATACATCATCTCCTTCCAGCCACACAATTGTTTTCTGCGTACAGCTTTTATCATAACTTCTCCATATACTTTTGATACATTCCCTCTCCTGCTCTCCTCCAAAGAACTTGCTGTTTCATGGTTAACCTGATAAACGTAGTCTCTTATAAAACTACCAGGAATGGCACTGCAGTTCTCTGAATTATGTACAATACCCCAAGTAACTTTACAAACTGGGGGGGAGACAGTGATTCCGTGCTCTTGTGGAGTCATTCTAAAAAAACCCAGAGGCTATTTTGCGTGTATCTCTGCTCTTCGATCCTTAGCGGTGGTCATTTTACTGCAACCACCCAAAAGGAGAACAAAGACCCCAGTTTTGAAGTTAACCTCATTGGAAAAGATGTTGTATTCCTTTCCGTGTAATACAGTATTAAGCATGCTATTCTGTTCTTACCCAGCAGTATTTTTTTAATGTCTTATTAATTTAGTTTTCTCATTTCAAAAAAAAAATCGTTAAACAACAAAGCAAAGCAAAACTAACTGTATTCAGGACTAGTGATTTGTGGCATTAATGTTCTGCAGTGGCAAGAAAATAGCTGGTTCTTTACTGCTATTTTAGAAATATATATCTTATTGAAGTGTACAAATAAGTATTAGCTTTTATGGTCTTCCCTTCTTTGTTAGTGGAATCTGGCTATTGAGTTGCAAACTGCTGAACACTATTTCCACCTTAATTGTGGCATTTTAAAGTGGATGAGTTAAGAGTGGTTATTTGTAACCAGTTATCTGGCAGTTCCTTCCTGCCTCCCCTTTTTTCATTCCCTGGGCAGGAGAAAGTATTGGGAGGTTCTTGTAGAGCACTAGGAATTTATTGATGTGCAGATGGAGAAGTACTATCTGTTGATAAAACAGTTGCTATTTATTACTTTACTGATTATTTCTTTTATATTTAGTTACCTACCAATATGACAACAGGGATTCTAGGCATGCTAGCTGGTCAAAAAGAGCTGAACACTGCAGATCCGTTTGGCACTAGCAGCAAAGCAAACAACTAGTCTCTCCATAACCCTTTTTCAGGATGTCCTGTGTGGTAGTTCAATATCTGTTACTTTGAAATATTTTATCATTTTAGATCTATTCAACGACATAGTTCTGAAGGCAGAGAGGTTTTTATTTTTATTTCTTTAAATCGTGAAAAAATGATAAATACATTATGTAGGGTCTCAGTCTGTAGTATTGCTGCTTATCTTGTTAATTCTACACTTGCAGGCATGAATAAAAAGCATAAAAGAGTAAAAATGGTCCAATTAGATGAAGTTGGTTTTTTCTCAACTATGAACAAGAGTGGAGACGTAGCCATATAGAATTAGCTTTCAAAGGCAGCTTAAATACGGTTTTTTTTTTCAGACTTTATCCGTTTTTTTTTTTTCATACGGACATATCCAAACAACGTTGTGTGCTTATACCTGCAACACTAGTTTTTGTCTCTTGGCTTATCAGATGATTTTTGGCAGCTATTTCTAGGGACCTTGTGAGCTTTCATTGTTTCTGTAAGCTGAATTGTCAATGTTAAACTTCAGTCCCTTTGCTGTTCCAGAGGAACAAAGGGAATGGTGTCATCACAGCAGATGAAAGCCGAGTTTCAGAGCGCGGCCTTTTGGAATAGAATTGCCCGAGCGTGGCTCTCGGAGTGCAACGGCTGCCTGAAGCTGGGCCTGAAATTCGGACAGGCTCACGGGTGCAGTCTGAAATTCGCCGGTTAAATGGTTCCTGTCCTAGCTTCCAGCTTTGACAGCCCGCTGGACAGTACCGTTTCGATGACGTGGGTAGCTCATGGCCCCAGACATTTCTGTAATTTGCAAATCTGCCTGTTGAGGAAGAACTTGGGTTCAGTCACACTTGCTGAACAAAAATTTGCAGCAGTTGAGAATCTGATTGACAAATAAGCCTGACGTCTCCACTTCGTGTTAGCTTTGGTTAGAGTGTCAGTAGCAGTTTTGGGCACAAATTTCCCAAAGGTAAGATCCAGCATCTCTGCCACGCTGAAATTTCCGCTCCAGTTCAGCTTACGTCACCTTGTAGTCCTTGTACACGTGCTGTGTGGGTGTATCATGTAAGGCTAAGAAAGGGAGAAAGTTTAACTATTAGAAAGAAGGTAGTAAACTGAATGCAGTGCTTAAATCATAACATTTAGTTATAACTAGTTTTGCTTTGTTATTAATAACTATTTCTGTAATTGTAGGCATGAGTTGCTGGAGGAAGCCAGAAGACAAGGTTTGCCTTTTGCACAGTGGGATGGACCTACTGTGGTGGTGTGGCTGGAGGTAAGTGGTCCCTCCAAAACGAATAAATAAAAATTCAAAACCTCCACATAGAGATTTCTAAAGGATTTAAGGTTTTGGAGTCAGGAATGTTTTCCGGATTCTGCTTACTAGGGTGTTTTTGCGTTTCAGCTGTGGGTTGGGATGCCCGCCTGGTACGTGGCTGCTTGCCGAGCGAACGTGAAAAGCGGTGCTATCATGTCAGCCTTGTCTGATACAGAAATACAGCGTGAAATTGGGATTAGTAATCCTCTGCACAGACTGAAGCTGAGGCTGGCCATTCAAGAAATTATGTCACTGACAAGTCCATCTGCTCCTCCCACCTCAAGGACGGTAAGGAAAGCGATCCAGCATTAAACATCTTTTAGGACCATTAGAATTTCCCAAAATTGTTCTGTAAACATGTAGCTGAAAGGATTTGAGCTTCAAATGAGAATCTGTGGAAACACTACATTTTAGAGGAACACTTTAGAATGTTTCTTCCTTTCCTGGAAATTAAATGAAGGGATAACTACATTTTCTTTCTTAAGAGAAAGAGAAATATGTATCAGTGTAAGTATGTTAATCCAAAATATTTAGAGTACTTGCGATTTGCCTCATCTTTTGGCCTCAGATGCTACAGTTGAGGTACATGTGTGCACACTGAACTTTGTAAAATAGTTGAGGGCTCTCTTAATCCCCATATAAGGCCATGAACTCCAAATAGTGATTCAGACTACATAAGCTACGAGTCCACCTGTCTCTGTAGTACAGTAAGTTTAGACACTCCGAGTCAGTGTGAATTCCTTCTCACAAGTGTGCCCTGCAATGCAAAGCTATTTTTGAGATTCCTGGGGTTACATGCTAGACTACAAATGCATTTCTACGGATCGGAGCGGAGTTGAGTGTTTGCCCATTAATTACCTCAGCATAAGCTATTTGTCACATTTGATTTTGTTAATATCTTTGAAGAAACGTGCTCCATGTCAATAGGCTTTTATTCCATGCTGTTACTTTCAGTAGATATACCTGTACTTAAAGACTTTAGAAACCATTGCTTTTGCCCGTGCCTGCTCCTTACGTGTACCGATTGCTTATATGTTCTGCAACCTCTCCTCTTTGTTACTGCTCTCCTTTCACTGGATGGGATTGGTTCCCTGTGGGGTCATATTAGACCACGGGAAATGTCTGGGTAACACATGAAGAAATGGAAAATCTTACAGCCACACAACAAACGGTTAGTTTATAGTGTTGCCACTTCTGTTCCTTAGAGTGCTTTTTCCCACTTTTTGAACATTTGAATCAAGTGCCTTTCAATCTTTTTTCTTCCTTCTTTTTTTTTCTTCTTTTTCTTTCAAATTAATGCATTAACATTCCAGATCATTGCTGCTTCTAATTACTAATGTGCATCGTGATAGATTTTTTTTTTTTTTTCCAGAAGGGGGAAAAGAAAATCAACACTGATAAGATTGTAGACAAAACATTGATCTGTAAAGCGGAGCTCTGATATGGTTCCCTAATAGACAAATTGAATTGTTTCTGTGGAAATTTCTTCTCTCCGGAAAACTTAGCCAGTAGATGGGTTTTGCAACCTCTCATATGAAAATGAGTGTCCTGTGTGGTTTTTCTACAATGCATGGTGCTTGCTTTATCTAGACTTTTTTGGTATGCAGTAGACTTAGAGCCTTGCAGTGCATCTTTAATTTTGATCTCCTTACTAAACTTAAATACTAATATGTATGTGTTCTTTTGCTTTTCTAACCACGTAACAGGAAGATGAGGAGGGAAGCTGGGCTCAGGTTGGAAACTTTATGTAATATTATCGACTGTATGTAAACTGTCACAATAATTAGAGCATGAAAGAATCTGGTTTTCCTTTATAGAAGTTTCTTCTAGTGACTCTTTGGGGCTTGGGGATTGAGAGTGGGGGGAAATTACAGGTTTATCTCTGTTTAATATGTACTTGGGATATACACTTTTAGATTTAGGTGGTTTAAATATTTTAATGTTTTCCGGAACTTCCAAGATTTGGCAGTTCACGACTGAAAAGCTGTAAAATTCTTGGTTAGAAAGTATATCACAAAAAAGCGCTATGCTTAAGGATTTTTAGCAGTAGGGCTGCTAGTGAGGGAAAATATTGTCTTTAACTTTCTGAAATATTTATTTACCCCCTAGCTTATGAATCACCGAAACGTAGTTACTCTTTCTTAATAAGCATTGTTGTATTCTATGTGTTGAACATGCTAGATCAAATTTTGAAATAATTTCATGATGCAATGTGGAGTGTTTTGGTGAGGGGCTGGCTCTCAGGGAAGCCACAAGTCCAACAGGAGTATCTGCTCTGTGCAGAAAGTCCCCGTCACGGGTGTGCTCCAAGATGTAGCAAGCCAAGATAGTTAAGTAGATCTCCATGCGCTAATTCCGTAATCCTCCTTGATTAATTGTTTTCTCTTAAAGTGCTGACAAATCCTAATTGTATTTTCAGGCCTTGAGATGGCCGAGTATTTTATACAGAGCTATAAACAAAACTGAGGATTTGCCCGTGACCTGTAGCTTTGGACTGTACAGTCTCTTCTTGCCTGGCTGCCCTCCAGCTAAAACAGGGTTAAGTCCCAGTAACTAAGTCTCAGAGACTCGATTGCAGCTTGTCAGGGATAACCCTCAGAGCTTCCCTCCCTCCGGCTCTTTCAGTCTGCTCCCTAGCGAGGGCTTCCAGAAATGCACTTCTTGCTCCTTTCTAGAAGGTGCTTCCTCTAGAGCAGAAACAAAGCTTTTTTTTGAGCTTTGAATTGCACAGTAAAAATGAATTATTTCCCTCGACTTCTGAAAAAAACCAACAAGCAAACTGCTGTTTCTTGTTGCTGAAGGAATGATGAGATGCATAGTTACACACTCCTCTTTTTGAGAAGTTTCTTTTTTTTTTTTTTTTTCCCAAAAAGTGATTTGCAGGTCAGAATTGGACTGAAGGAACCAGGGGACTGAGGTGATTTTTGTTTTTAGGATAAGGACTAGCACAGGGAATTGCTTCATCTTCAGTAATGGGCTTTTATAATTTTTTGCTTACTTGATTTGGATCGGTTTCTGAAAATAGTTAAGTATATTTTAAAAAAAAAGCAAAACACAAAACCTGCAGATTTTTTTTTTAATAATATTGTATTTGTATGGTCATGTGAAAAAATAAGAACCACTCCTTCCAGTTTTCAAGAGATACAGTGTTTTTAGCATCTTAACAAAACGAAATTCTGTGACTCAGCACAATATAGACTTGGTCTTGATTTTCATTAGTTTTTGCCTAATTTTTCACGCCCTTCAACATGAAATAAATTGAGACAATTTTACTTGCCGATCTGAATAGCTGAGCTTTCTTCATGAGGTTGACTTCAGAAAGGATACACAGAGTAAATACTTTTTTGTACTTTACAGGTTAAGAATTAAGTGTTGCTTTACTTTTTTTTCTTTAAAACGCATTGTCTAAAAAAAAAAAAGGCTTTTTATTTCTCATTTTAATAAGCTTATTCCTTAATCTTTTAAAAACAGACGTTAGCATATGGTGATATGAACCACGAGTGGATTGGCAACGAATGGCTCCCGAGTCTGGGGCTCCCTCAGTACCGCAGCTATTTCATGGAGTGTCTTGTTGATGCTCGAATGCTGGATCATTTAACTAAAAAAGATCTGCGTGGACAACTGAAAATGGTGGACAGCTTTCACAGGTAAATAGATTTAAAGTTGGAGACCTAACTTACAGTAAATGTTTTTGTTATCTTGTGTGGGGGGAGGTTTTCTAATGTTTTTTTTCCCTTTTCTAAACAGAAACAGTTTTCAGTGTGGAATTATGTGCCTACGAAGACTGAATTATGATCGAAAAGAGCTTGAAAGAAAAAGAGAAGAAAGCCAGAACGAGATTAAGGGTTAGTGCATTGTCATGGTCCCAGATTCTAATGTGTTTTGGCTGATCTGCCTCAAAAATTTATTTTAAAAAAAACCCAAAAAACAAACAAACAACAAAGGGAGGGAATTACTTATAAAATATCCAATGTTAAATACGGGAGATGAGTCTGGATGCAGACCCTGAACAGCGACTCATGAAACACATCCAGTCACTCTTGGGCAGAGATGTGCTAAATGCAGACGCTTTGGAAACCTGCTGCTGTGGAGTTTGAAACAAAGTGTGTAGGAACCTGGTTTTTGTTTTCACCCTTTGGCTAAACCTGTAAATGCCACTTTATGATATTTTCCTTGAAAATTTCCCTGAAAAAGTTCCATGAACTGTGCCCAGCTTAGCTCGTCTGATTGCTGTGACTGCAGCCTCCCTTTGGGCCTCCCGAGAGAGGAGCTGGAGTGCAGGCGTCCTTCGGGCTGCGAGGAAACTGCTGCCTGGGCAGGACCTAACACTGGGCCTCGCAGTCTGAGCATCAGGTTTTGTTGCCAATTGAGAGCGTTTCACGCACACAAAGAGGCAGGGCAGATCGTACCACAACCTAAATGTTAAATAACAGAATTTCTTGAGGACTGCTACTTAACAGAGTTTATGATGAGTTATATATGTGAAAATCCTGATGTCAGCACACAGATGAAGAAAAGGCTGTGGGTTTTCTGTTCAAAAAAGTCGTGTAGTATAAATTGGGCAACTTGGTTGGTTTTTTTCCCCCCTCCTCCATAGATGTCCTTGTGTGGAGCAACGAACGAATGATCCATTGGGTCGTGTCCATTGGTCTTAAAGAATACGCGAATAACCTTATAGAGAGCGGAGTCCACGGTGCACTTGTGGCCTTAGATGAATCATTTGATTACAATGCATTAGCTCTCTCCTTACAAATACCCACCCAAAACACACAGGTAAGCAAGAAGTAGTCATGACCAATAGGATTTTGTTTTTTCTCCTCTAGGGAGGTTAAAAATGGAACTGGTTTGTGTGTTTGGTTTTTTTTCTTAAGTATATGTCTATTTCCAGCTCTGGAAACTTCATACATGGAAATATCCATTGCCATGTAAGAGAGAAGCATAGAACTATGTTTTTTCTACTGTTTTCTAATTGTTAGTAACAATTCTGGTTGATAAATTTGCTTGGGAAAAAAATAGCTTTTGAATATTATCCTCATAGCCCACTTTCAGAGCATTAGGGTAAAACTCACCATTTTTGTCATTTGCTACTTTTTACTCTGAAATAATTAAGTACAAGCCAGAAATCATGAACTTTTGTCTCATGATGAAGGAGAAGCTAAGTCTTCCGTACTTTTTTTAACTTCTTTGGTTTAACTTTTCAAGTACTAAGTGTGTGTATTAATCTGATAAGCTATTAAAGAATTCGGATGATACTAAGTTTTTAAAATTACTGTAAGTTACTAATGACTTTCCTCCTATGAACCTTAGGCTCGTGCTGTTCTGGAGAGGGAATTTAATAACCTTCTTGCTATGGGCACTGACAGAAGACTTGATGAAGTAAGTTACTTGAGCTGTTGACCCATTTTAGGGTCCTGGGAACTTCGTCAGAACTGTTTAGGGAAAGAGTTTAGCTTGAAGCTCTTCAAGCTATGGACAAAATAGTGACAGGAATCTTATCTTGAAGTTCTTTGTCTTTGAGAGTGGCAGTTTCTCGGTATTTAGGTAAGATAACGTTGAGTATGAAAGTATTGAGGTGATTTTCAAGTTTGTTTTTGTAGCAGCACTTTGGGCTGGATCTTCTATCTAAAATATGGGAAAATTACTGTTGCTGATGAACAAGCTATAATAAAAGCACTGTATAGCGCACTTCAAACGTTTGTCCTAATGAGCAGTATTTCAAATAATCTTGAGTGTTTTCCAAGAACGTTTGTGTTGGTAATCTCCATTAGCATTGGGCTAGATGGCCACCAGGTATGTTTGCACATCGAAGTAATCTCTGTGAGGCAGTCTGTGATCCTACAGTGTGTAAATTTAATTCAAATATCAGTATAAAAGTCTGACAAGCCAGGTGTGAGACATTGCATTGCCACATTCCTTCACTGCAAAAGATGTTTTTGGAAGTGGGACTTAATGCTTTATTGTATTTAGTAAGTGCAATATTTTACTTCTGAAGTGGAATGTTACTTCAAAGATGCAGATGTATTAATAGGAGGAAAATGCACTGGGATAATTACAAGTTTACCCAAGTGCTGAAGCAAAACACAGCATGGCAATATAGTGTTTGCTACACTTTCTGGATTTTTTTGGTTTTATTTTCACTATCACTTCCCATAATTTGTAGCATGAAGAAGCACAACAGCTGTATCATCATTCCTGTAAGACAGAACTGAAATTTTAAAGCAATTGATCAGATTAAGCCTCTCTGTGTTAGTGCTCCCAAAGCGGCTTTTAGGATCTGCTCCACCCCTTGTATCCCCGAGGAATGAGCAATGCGATGCTTACGAGTTACTGCAATTCATGAAATACAAACAACTGAAGTACAAAATGTTTTCCTGAATGTGCAGAGCACGTGAATTCCCGTAGTTGCTGAGGTGGAGAACCCGCACTCTCGCAAATGAGCCCAGGTGGTCGCAGGTGAAGCCCTGTGCTTCTGCTGCACCTGAACCACTCTGGAAATGAACTCGTCCAGTGATGACATGTTTACTTTAAGATTGCCAGTAATCTTTTTAATGTCAGTAGCAAATCCTGCTTTTTTTTAATTGCTAATGATGTTTATCAATATAACAGGATGATGATAAGAGCTTTAGGAGAGCACCTTCATGGAGAAAGAAGTTTAGACCAAAGGACATAAGAGGTTTAGCTGCTGGATCAGCAGAGACTCTTCCTGCAAATTTCAGAGTTACAACCTCAATGTCTTCACCCTCTATGCAGCCAAAGAAGATGCAGATTGATGGTATTGATTTTGTATTACTTTAAGCATGATGCTCTTTTTTGCTTGAGATTACAGGGCAATTAAGTTCAAACTACTTCTTAGCTGCATAAAAGCATCTGCCTTGTGCATGGGTGTGTGTATGTAACACTGTGTTTAACCGTAGGGCGCTTTAGGATTTCAGGAAGCTGTGCTAAACGTGGAGTTTCTTTTTACTTCATTGGAATAACAAAATGAGAATTATAGTTAGAAATAATTTATTTTATTAGGAGAATAAAGTGACATTTTACTGGAAGTCTTAATCACGTGATGCGTAATTTCTGGTTAGCAGCAATTAGACCAGCTAAGTGTCTCTTTTGAATTGCTCTAAAATGCATTCAAAAATGATGTGAATAAACTTCCCTTGGATAATTTAGAGATTATTAAAACTCGAGTAAAAGGTGCGTTACCTCCCCCTGCAGTGGTCACGTAAATATTCATGATACTTGAAATCACCACAGCATTTATTTCTGTGTGCTTAATGATGTGTAGGTGTGCACGCACATGGATGTATTTTAAAAACCCCAGCTGGGAATAGAAGTTAATCACTTGTCGCGTGAGGTATCTTGTCTGTTTAAAAACAGACTCCTTAGTACCATGAGAATAAACTTTTACTTGAATTTGTTTTACAAATCACAAGTAAAAGAAATGGAAAATGTGTTTGGTTGGAACAGACAGGACGAGACAGATTCTAAAAATTTTATTTATTATTTAAAGCTCCAAGAAGCAGCTTTTGCATCTGATGCTACTCTCTAAAATTTGAGCTGGTTTAAATTATGCCACTAGCAGAAAATGGTTACCAGCATTCATGTGCAAGATTCTATGAACTGAAGTGCAATTTTTGCCATGTAAAACCTCTTTCTTTTTATGACAAAAACAGAGTATAAAAGATAGAAAATAAATTACTAATAAAATTGTTGTGCAGATTTTTTTAGAATTCATTTTGCTAGTTGCTGAAACTCGAAGTGGTTGATATATAAACCGTAAAATAAATGCTGCTTTTCTAACCTGTAAACCTTGAGTTGAGTGAGTACTATAGCTGTGATCCCATTGCTGTGGTGTGGGGATTTTTTTGTTTGTTTTGTTTTTGAAAACTAACATGCATGCTGTGTTCTGCATGTCTCCCCATGCTTCTTGAAATAGGCAGTGTATCAGGAACACAGAGATTGGATTCTGCTACAGTAAGGACCTACTCCTGTTAAAGCCTTCTCCTGGTGAGTAAAGCTGATAGGTAATAGTAAAGCAGCTGTTTGTGAAATAAAACATCAGGCATTCTAATACAGTGAGTTTGCACACAAAACTGTTTCAGGGTAGATTGTTATATTGAAAATCGGGAGATTATTCCCTACAATGAAGGCTCTGACTGTTTAACTATTTACTTTTATAAGGATTGTGTTCTTTTGAGCTTTTTTTCCTTTTTTTAATAAAAAGCCTCAAAAAGGGCTTGTGCTATAAATAGCTCTATAGAAAGCGTTGAAATCAGAGGTTGGATGAAACAGTGAAAGTAGAGGGGAAGGAAAAGGAGCTAAATTAGGCATGTAATGGAAAGAAAACTATTTAGTGTGATGCTGCAGTTGAGATCTTTCAGAGTCTTTGCTTCGTCAAAATTATCTCACTACAATATACTTCACTATTGCTGCTGGGGCACTTGCATAGTTCTCCAGTTCTGGATCCTTGAGGCTGCTCTGGTTGCTTTAGGCTGGCTGGAGGGACTGAGCTGCCTACACACCGACGGTGGGTAGCTGTGAGCAGAGCCGGTAATAACAGGCACCTTGGAAACGCTGGTATTTAGCACAAAACACGTGTGTCCTGCCTTAGGAAAGATTTGTAGTCCTGTCTTACTCCGGGAGCTGGAATGATTTTTCTTCAGCAGACTCTGCTGCATTTTCTCATGGAACTGTAGTTTTCTCGTTTTGCAAACAAGTCTGGAAACTAAATTAAAAAAAAAAAAAGAGTAAAAGTCTGGTGACTCTCACTAGCTGGTATGTTCCATGGGCTATAAATCCTCTTCTGCTTACAGCTTCTTTCCTTCTCACCAGTAACATCCCTACCAACTCCTGTATTGGCTGCTTTGCCGTCAAATTCGGCACTTTTTTTATGTACACGTTTATTTCTAAAGTATTCCTGTGTGTGAAATATTGAGAAGGGAAACTTGCACGTAGTGGCTCAAAACACATGGATCTGTCAGTTTACAATCTTGGGGGCTGTCTTAAATCTTTTTTTTTTAGATTCAGCACCTTGGAAGTTGCAAGTGTTCCACTACCCCCCACCTTCTCCAAACTGTTTCAGGATTTTTTCTGTAGTCAGGTGACCCAGGATACAAATCTAGGAAGCAGAAATATTTGACCCCATGTGCTTTACTTGGCATTGCAACTGGAGATTACAGAAGGCAACAGAATTGTATATGTTGTGGCATGGCAATAATTCAGTGCATGACTGCTGCGGGACTGAGCGGTTTGTGAGACACTTAAAATTAAATGTTTTCTTGTAAACAAAACAAAAACAAACAAACCTGCTAATGGAATTTTTTTTGTGTTCTCTTTCTTTTTCTTTCTGTGTTGTTTGTTGTTTTTTTTTCTGTGTTGTTTTTACAGTTTACCCACACTATTTCTACCGGTGATATGCAGCATTTTGAACATTTGGAACCCTTAACCTGTTAATACTTGTTAAATGGACACTTTGAGATATTTTATTACAGAGTTTTTAATTAGCAAATAAATTCATGAGTACTATAGAGAAAATATTTTAGAATCTAAATGTTTCTTATATTTATGTGACTTCTCATTTATATAGTTACTTACTTTTTTCTGTTTCTATTCAGTCTACAAATCAAATCATTGCTGATTTTTTTATTCTAATTTTAGTCTTTCCAACTGAATGTACTGTAATGCTTGTATGTATATGTCCCTATAAGTAATATAGGGTTTTTGTAAATTATGCAGTTACTGTAATTATCGTTGTTTGTTTTTTAATAATGAAACTGAAGGTGAAAAGGATTTTAATACCTTTGTAAAAGTATCATGACACCGAGCAGTATATATTTTGTCTTTTGGAAACGTTGGCTTAGAGCTGAGAACGAGTCCAGCTTTTTTTTCCAGGTAAGCATATGCTGTTGTAGAAGGTACCTACACTTGGTCTTCTTTCCAGAACTGTACCTTTCTGCAAAGAGGATTTGTCGAGTACTGGGAAGTTTGTCTTTATTTAAAATATAACTTGTTTTAAAACCTGAGAGGAACTATTAACACTACAGAACACGTTGTAGAAGTGATTGACTCGGTCATAACACTCTCTGCTGTATTTGTATAGCATTCTCTTCAGAGTGACTGAAAACAAGCCATAAAACCAAGAACTGTTTCCATTTTTTATTTTTTTTTCCTTAACTGTGGAGGATAGACTTCATAATAATTCCTGGTCGTAATCCACAGGCCACAGAGAGGGGCTTTTTTGGCCTGGATCTTTTTTCATTGAAAATCGTGGTGGAAAGAGCCTGGTGAAAGTAGTTTTAATGGACCAATGGTGAAGCACTGCAGCCTCATGACAAACGAGTAGTGAAAGATGAAGGTACAATGAGCTAAAAACTAAAGCAGTGCGACTTTTAATAAAGGCCTTACTTTTCTTACGTAAGTCAACTTTTGTGTTTTGTAATCTTGTTCTAAAGAGTTGTCTGGACTTTAATTTTGATGGTTGTAGCCATTTTGGACTGTACGAGTAGAAGATGTATCCAGCGTTTGTACATGGCATATTAAAGCCAGCAAGAATCTGTTCAGATGGTGCATTATTTATTATGCAACAATATATATAGCATGTCTTTTTTTTTCTTATTTTGTTTTCCACTTCTAACTTGCTTGTAAAACTGAAATTCATTGTTACTGTTCTGGTTTTTTTCTATTAATCTTTTGTGTATTTTCAGATTATGTAACAATATGTACAGTCTACTTTTGAACTATTTTTATCACAGTATTATTTATTGCTTTCTTTCAATAAAGTACTGATGCATTTTCCACTGCCAATAAAACGCTATTGAAAAGCTCAGATCTAATCGTATGCAGGCAGATACTTTTGCGGTGAGTGGATACTGTCAATAAAGCATCTTAATGATTGTTTGCTGCCCCGTAGATCTGGTTTCAAATGATGGTTTTTCTCCAGTAGAAAAATGTTCCATTAGATGTGACATTTTCTTTAGAATTGTTCAAGTTCACATGCGTTAATTGGTTTTTAAAAACCAATTTTTGGGAAGGAAATTTTGATATTGCCTACTTCTTCTCACAGTTAGAGGTATGACTTACTTTAGGAAAAAAAAAAAGTTTAAAAAAAGCTATCCCACAACTTCAGTATATTCTGGTCCACGTGGTGAAGATTGCTGTTCTGCAGAGCAGCAACAGTCGCTGTGTTAATAATATCATCATAGTGATGTTTGGGGAGAAGCGTAGGAGTCCAAGGAACCAATACAAAATTGGGTCACAATAGGACTGTTTCTGTCAATTTTAATATATTTGTAAGCCATTTCCTGTGCAGAAGAGAAGACAGAAGGATCAAGTTGCCGAAGAACGGAAGCACTGGTGAAGTGTATTTCCTCACGTCCTCCAGATTGCCAGCAGGGTGCGGAACACATGGAACGGAGAAATACTGTGATTGATGCTTTAGACATTGTTCAATGATGCATCTCTGTCTAGCTTGTCTATATGAGTTGCTCTCTGATCATTTGCAGACTTTTTTTATATTTTCAGAGAAATCTATCTTTCTAGAAAAAGCTAAAACGAAACTGCGGAAGGAGATCCTGACTCACTGTTCAGCTAAACTTCCCTGGTTAGGAGAAAACTGCCCAGGCGTTTGTGGTCACTGATGTGATAATAGGTGTTCAAAGTCATGTATTGTTGCTTCTCAGAAGTGAAACCAACGCGGAATAGACTTGTAAAATGTGAAAAGAAAATATGTTTATTATTTTAAGGCTGTAAAACCTTAACTGTTACGGAACAATGGAATTGACACGAGAGCTAGAATAAATGAGTGAAATAGAAAAAGCTTTCACGAACTGGCAAAACCGTGTGGTGACTTCGTTCTGAGTTACACAGCAAAGCGCGCTCGGAGAAATCGAGGAAAACCACTTCTCACTCGATTTTAATAAAGCCTTCTGGAAAGAAAAACATGCAAATGCATGTGCAAAAGGCATATGGGTATGTTACAGTAAGCTTTCGATAAAGCTTGGGTAAATACAAGTTTTTGTCAATTGCCAAATGTCTTTAAAGACTTTAATTTTTATAGAACTCTTTCCAAGTAAAGTATTTGTTTTATTTGAGAGAGCTTTAAACTCACAGGTTTTTTGCATGTCTAGAAGGGCAGGAAATACCAAACCAGATGTTAAAACTTTGTCTTTCTTCTTGCAAACTGATGTAGGTTTACAAGATGAGGAGCTGCTTTTGCAGTGTCTTATGGGCAGGAGTGAGTTATCGTGCCTAAAAAAACAAAGGTAGTTCAAAGCAGAATTTATGCTTGGAAAGGGGTAGACTGAAGATTGGGAGGGAGGGGTGGCAAAAGTAATTTTCAGGTAAATAAAAAGTGACACAATGTTATGTTTGGGGGGGTGATTTTTTTTGTTTTTTGAAACTGAAGGGTTACTTTGCCTTTAGAAGGGAATTTGTTTTTTTCACTTCTTGATAATTGAATTTTCAGAGTTGTAGTTTTGGTGCACTGTTTTAAACAAATGTTTTTCAAAATTTTATGGACTTAATGTTTTGTTCCAAAAAGAAAAAATGGCATTTGTAGTCTAATTTAGGCAGCAGCACCTTGTGGTTTTATGTGCCGTGGAGGGAATAGATGGATGAAAAGTGATTTTTCAGTGGGGTTGGTATTCCTGCCTGTAAAGCGAGGGGAGGGGTGAGGAGACCAGAATTAACAGCAAAATGATCCAGGTTCTCCGAGCCTGCGCTGTCCTCTAGCAGACATCTTTTTGTGTTTAGCCCAATTTATAAACTGGATAGAGAGTATTGAAAAGAGCAAATCGCCCTATGTTTAATACAGGAAAGAATAACTGAGCATATTTATACCGTGAACTAAGTCCCTTTGGCTTTAGGGGACTGGAGTTCGTTCTCCCACCTAAGCCTGACTCCTTCTAGAGCTTGTGAAACTGGTCACCTGGATATTTTATTTATTTATTTTAACCTTGCCCTTTATTACAGATTGGAGTTGTGTATTTATTTTCATATTTATATATTTTTTTTGCTAGAAGTGGAATTCCTAAGAGAAGCAAATCATGGGCAAACACCTCCTAAAGAGCTTGGGCTGCGTTTTTAAAGCCTCGTTGTTTTTTCCTGCCGGCATCTGTCGATTTCGCTGCCCCGGGAGCGCTCCCGGGGGCACCGGGGCTGCCGGCGGGCTGCTGCCAAAGTGAGTATCAAGATCAAAAAAGGAAGAATAAAATGTCCAAAATTCTACCAAATGTAGTTGTAGCCCCCTTTTAAACTCCTGACAGGGCTTTTTCGAGGTGGTAGCGCTTGGATTTTAAGAAACACGGAAAGAAGCAGCTATAACCTAGCACATATTTATTATTATTTTACTTTTCTTACCCCCTTTTTTTGAATAACTTGCGGGAAGGCCGGGTGGGACCGT